CCCGCCGCGCCGCCGCCGCCGCCGCCCTGCCCCTGCCCCTGCCCGACGAGCGCGCCCGGCGCCCCCGGCAGCGCCCGCTGCGCCACCGCCTGTCGCCCAGCCCCGGCGGCGCCCAGCCCGGCGCCGGCGGCGCCGGCGGCGGGGCCGTGGAAGCGCGCCAGCGAGGGCTTCTTGAGGTTCGCGATCGGCCGCATGCCGACGCGCTTGGGCAGCAGCCGCAGGCGGCAGAAGCCGAGGGGGCGCGAGGCGAGGACGCGGTGGGCCTCGGGCGGCGCGACGGGCGCGAAGCGCTGGGACAGCAGCTCGTCGAGCGCTTGGCGCTGGAGGTGCGCCCAGACCGGCTTCCTGCGTGCAGGTGCCAAGAAGGGCAGGGGCCGCGTGTGCGGGGTCAAGGGGCGAGCACGATTCTGCGCATGGGGCTGTGGGGGCGGGGGAAGAGCGCGCTCGCGCGTCGGCAAGGTGCGCGCCCTCGTGCAACCTGCGGCCGTACTCGCTGGGTTTGTGACTCGAAAACCATGCGGTAAGGGCATCGCGGATGCGCCTCGATCAGCCCCCTAAAGTAAAAACCCCGAACCGGGGACAAACCGCCCCTGCCGGCAACGCAACTGACGCCGCGCTGCGGCCGGCCGCATCTCCTGCCCCCTCCCCTGCCTCTCAAAACGCCCGCTCGCCTGTAGTAGAACACCTGTTGGCGGTAGGGTTCGCTCTCAGTCACATAAAAGCTGTTGCGCAGCAGCGGCACCACGACCTCGGACACCAGCCACCACACCCACTGCGCCAGCCACCGCTTGCGCGCCTCCAGCAGGCTGCGCGGCGCCGGCCGCGCCGGCGGGCCGCCTGGCGGCGCGCCCGCCCGGCGCGCCGCGTGCTGGCGCTGCTGCTGCTGGTTGTGCAGCTGGTTGCCCAGCTGCTGCGCCGTCGGCGGCGGCGCCGTCATGCCTGCCTGCGCGGCCGCGGCGTGCTGCTGCGGCGTCTCGCTGGCTGGCGGCGTTGGGGCGGGTGCACTGTTAAGCCACGGCATGTCGCTGGTGCGCAGCCGCCGCAGCAGATGGTGCAGCGTGACCGTCTCGTGGCGCCGCAGCCGCACAATAAGGTCGACGCCGCGCCGCAGGGCCGCGCGGTTGCGGCAGCTGCCGAGCAGCTGCGGGGGCACGATGTGGCGGAGCACGGACCACACGTACTGCGAGACGGCGCGGTGGGGGACGACGCACGCCAGGAGCCCGAGAGGGCCGCCCTCGTCCCCGCCGTCCGCGTCGCCTTCATCTGTGCCGCCGCCGCCGCCGCCGCCGCCGCCTGGCGCCGCCGGCCCCGCGCCGCCGCCGGCTGCCGTCGCCTCCTCGTCGCCTTGCCGGCCCGCCAAGCCCCGCGGCTGCGTCCGGGGCTGGCCGGCTGACGCCTGCTCCTGCTGCTGGTGCTGCTCGACCAAAAGGTCCATAGGCTCTCGTCCTGACCCGCCCAGCACCTCGCCTGCAGCCAGAGGGCGCTCAGGTCCCACGCCACGCCCCTCGCGCACCGCGGCCGCCCCGCCTTCCGCGCCCGCGGCAGCGGCAGCGGCTGCGACAGCCCTGGCGCCCGTCCGGCCGAACGGCCACTCCGGCGTCCGCTGCGGCGGCGGCTGCGCGCACTGGATGACAGGTGTGACGTCACCGCCCGGCCCGGGCCCGTCGCCGCTGCCCGGCCCCGAGCCGCTGCCGCCGCCAGCAAATTGGAAGCTCGCCTGTGGCGTGCCGCCGGCCGCCTGGGATGCGTGCGCGTGGTCCAATCCCCCGCCCTCGCCCGTGCCGTTCAACCACCGGCGGCGCCGCCGCTGTTGATGGTGCTCCGCTGTACCAGACCCACGCATTGTCGGCGTTGTCCGCGGCAGCGTGCGGCGCTCGGCGTCCCGCGCCGCGGGCGGTGCCGCAGCGGCCGGCGTGGCGCCGCCGCCTGAAGCGGGCCCCAGGTCGGCGCTCGCGGCGAGCGGCCCTGAGCGGGCGCCGCGGCGCGCGGCCTGCTGCTGCGAGAGCCAGCTCATGCCCTGTGGCAGAGGGCAGTGGGTGCGAAGAAGGAGCGAGAAAGGGCACTTGTGGACGCGACCTGCAATTGGTGGGCAGGTGTAGACACGGTAGAGGGCGCGGTGCATGGGAGGTGAGGGGGGACGATATACCGCCGCAGGAGCTTGCGCGTTCGCACGCAGCCCCCCCCCCACACACACCCACACATACACATACACATACACACACACACACGGCACACACACACACACACACACACGCACGCACATACCCACGCACGCACATAGACACGCACGCACGTGCGCACGCGCGCGTGCGCACACACACGCACGCACGCATGCGCACACACACACACACACACACATACACACACATACACACACACGCACACACACACACACAAACACACACACACAACCCCATGAGCGCCCACGCAAGCACACGAGCACACACTCAAACCACCACCTGCAAGCGCACCAAGCACCCACCTATCATCCTCCGCAGCAGCCCCAACAGCATGTGATGCCCCTTCCTCACGTGAGGTGGCGGCGCCGGCAGCTGCACCAGCGGCTGCCCCGCCCGCCCCCACGAGTTGACCGGCCGCCGCGCGCCTGCGCCGCCAACCGCGCCCGCGACAGCCCCTGGCCTCCTCTGCGCCGCCGCGCCGCCGCCGGCGCCACCGGCCGGCGCAGCGGTGGTGGGGGGCGCGGCGGCGGCGACGGCCCCGAAGATGAGAGCGTACAGCGAACGCGCGGCGCCCCGCCTGCCACGCAGCCTGCGGAGTATGTCTGCGGTGCGGGGGTGGCGGCGAGAGGGGCCGCTGTCGGGGCGATGGGTTTGAAGCCGGTGGGACGGCGGTATGCAGGGCTGGACAAAAAAAGATGGGATGCCCAGCCTTGTATGGCATGGGAGGGTCGAGCCCTCATTGCACAAGTTGCATGACAGCCCTCTGGGTAAACCTCACTGCGCGCTGCCTGGGGTGGTGCTGCATTGTGGACCACAGCGAAATAGATTGCTTCTGCCAGTGTCCGCGG